TCTCTCTCTCTCTCTCTCTTTTCTCTGGCTAGGGCTAAACATATCTCAAACATTTCATCAAAAATCAACAGTAGAACTGTATAAAACAATTATATATACGTATATATGTATATAGCGACGGAGAAATGAAACAGAGACTGAAATGGACCTCATCATGGCTACAATTTCGCCTTGCCACCGTCGCGTCACCACCGAACTCGCATCCCTCCGCCATTCTCTCTCCTTCGTCGTCGCCTTCCTCTGCCATCCTCTGTCCTTCGCCGTCGCGTCCCCTCACCATCTCTCTTAATTCGTTTCTCTCTCCCTCGTGTTCCTCCGTCGTTGTCTCTCTGCCTCTCTTTCTCTCTCTCTCTCTCTCTCTCTCTCTCTCTCTCTCTCTCTCTCTCTTCTCTGGCTAGGGCTAAACATATCAGATGATAGAGAAAGATGAAAGTGGGCAGGAAACTCAGATTTTGGAAGAAAAAAAAATAACACTAAACAAAACAACGTCGCTTTGGCGAGCGCGGCAGGGAGGGCCGCAGGAAAGTGCGGCCGACAATCCTTACTCCTCAATATATGAAATTGAATTCCTTAGAAGAGCAGTCAAAATCATGTGGAAGAACAGCCAAAGCAGCCAAAACAGTGAACAAGAATGCTTTGAGAAATAGCTTTTGTAAACCTACATCACTTAGCACCGCAATTTTTTTTTTTTTTTCACTTAGCGCATTGAGTGATAAGTAAAAGGTAGGTTTTTTTTTTAACTAAAAATTTTAGCCTTTTTGTAAGTGAGATTTAATTTTTTAAGTGATGCAATATATGTATAATCAAACCAACTTAATTAAAAAATTACTTAATATTTTCAATTTTAAGAGCTAAATTGGATTATCAAACACCCCCTCAGTCAACCATAAGACTGGTTTCATCCCATGCCATAAGACTGGTTTCCTCTTTGTCTTGCAGCTTCAATTGTTTGAATGTGTCGTAGTACATGATCTCACATGAACTACCCTGGTCAATCAGAATCCGCTTGACGTCAAAATCTTTGACTCAGAGAGTGACAACCAGAGCATCATTGTGAGGACAGTATATTCGATCCAGGTCCTTATCTGAAAAAGACATGACGTTTGTTGCCTCTGTTTTCCCCTTCTTGATGGCAGGTTGGGCACTTAATACTTCCCTAAAGTGCTCAGCCTTCTTGATTGAACCTCTGAGCTCGCATACGCGCTCAGGTTCAAAAACTCCATGAATTACATTGATAATGCCTTGAGGTGGTGCATCGATTGGCATTCTGTTGGGATGGTCATTATGATCTTGGGGGGCCGGTTGCGCTCCTCCTTCAATGTATTTGTCCAAGTGGCCTGCTGCCACCAATTCTTCCAAGTGCTGTCTCAGTGGCGTGCAATTCTCAGTTCGGTGCCCCTTTTCTTTGTGGAAGGTGCACGTACTGGAGTAACAAGTAGTGGTGGGGAGGACATGTACTCCTTCAAGCTTTCCAGAGCTCGGTCGCATTCTTCATCCCACTCAAACTTGGCCTTTAAAGCCTGGAAGAATGGTCGTAGTCTGTCTGATGACCTGCTTATGAACCGATTGAGTGCAGCCGCCATACCAGTGAGATGCTGCACTTCTTTGACTGAGTTTGGTCTCTCCAACTCCTGGATTGCTTTAATCTGAGAGGGGTCTGCCTCTATACCTCGGTTGGTCACCAGGAAGCCCAAGAATTTGCCAGATCCAACTCCGAATGCGCATTTGGACGC